TAAAATGAGAGAAGAAGAATGAATGGAAAAATTTATTGCACAAGGTAAATTCGTATGTAATAAGCACAGTATAAAAAATTTCGAGCACTTTTTTAATTTACATTGCCCCGGCTGATAAAAATTTCTGCATCCGCCGCTGGTCTCGCATCGTTTATACAGGAAAAATAAGTCTAACATATAAGTCTAGTGGACTAATCCTCTTACTACCACTTAATTATGGGATGGAACCTCACTAAACGCATCTAGGTTCATCTTGTTATGGTGCGCTTCACGTGCATCGGACTACACTCGTATTTCCCCAATTTTTGCATGGTATCAGAGCCAACTTACGTGGGACCTGCGATGACGTACCCGTTATCTGGCCTGCTCTGTGGGCTTGGGCTTCGTATGAAGGACTTACAAGTGAAGGGGCGTGTTAGAATATCACTTGACGTACCCGTTACCTGACCTGCTCTGTGGGCTTGGGCTTCTTATGAAGGACTTACAAGTGAAGGGACCTGTTAGAATATCACTTGGCGTACCCGTTACCCGACCTGCTCTGTGGCCTTGGGTTTCGTATGAAGGACTTACAAGTGAGGGGACCTGTTAGAATATCACTTGTGAGTTGTCCCACATCGTTTATACAGGAAAAATAGACCTCGACCTAACTTATAAGCCTAACGGGCTACTCCTCCTACTACCAATTGATTTTGGAATGAAACCTCACTAAGGTGCATTTAGGCTCACCCTATGGTGCGCTTCACGTGTATGAGACCGCACCCGTTTCTTCCGATTTTTACACGTACTATTGCTAGCTATCATGCTATAACACTTGTTCTCTTGTTTGTGCATGATCGGGGAAAGCAACAATGGCCGTCTTGGACGATTTACATGTGGGCTACAACATCTAGAGGAATTCTGCAATAGATGAGTGTGAGGTCCATTAGAGGTCATGAGTCTTCTTCTAGAGGAATTCTGCGACAGATGAGCGTGAGGCCCATTGGAGGCCGGGAGTCTTCTTGATCTCTGCATATTCGGAACAGTGGCAGCCAGTACTCAAAGGGGCGATAACTTTGATGGAGACAAGATCGCGCTCCGATTCAAGGGTTAATCCTTCTCAATCGAGGGAAGATGATGGAGATGAGATAGTTTAATTATTTATTTTCATTGTTGTTTTTATTACTTTTCTTATTTACTTTATATATTTGGTAGGTTATTTTTATTATGATTATTCAAAATATCTCTATACAAATTGCCAGCAGAATATGACAACATAATTTATATCTTCATCATATTTATAAACAGTATGTGCTATATCATTACTTTTTAATCTTGGTTCACATTGCATTATGAACCCAATTTCACAATGTATGCAGTGCACTGTAACCTGTCTGAAAAATTTACAAAAAGAAAAATGTATATATTAATGCAGTTGCATCTCATCAGCTTATTAAAACTTTACAAAACCTTCCTGTTGATATTTTCACCTCAAATCCATCAAATTTTCCTCAATATTTAAATGAAAGTCGGGACAAAAATTGGGGCAACTTGCAGCATTCAAAAAAGTTCAGAAAATGCACTTTGCAATAACTTGGTAGTGAAACCAAATCTCACTCTTCTTTAATATATACACATTGCCCCCCCATTTTTTCTATAATTGAGATTCTCCAAGTGAAACCAACCACCTTGTGGGAGATTATAAATGCACTCGACTTACAGTGACATGAGAAGCACCAAAA